TAGAACCCATGGGCCCCTAGTATGGGCCCTTAACCCTGGGACCCTAATATACCTACTATATACCCTATATATACCCTTAAGGGACCTAGAATCCCCGAAGGGCCCATGTTAGGGGCCCATGGGTTAAACCTTAGATGGGGAACTAAGAACTTATCCTAAACCCTAAACCCTAAACCCTAAACCCTAAACCCTAAACCCTAAACCCTAAACCCCTTACGTCCTGCCCCGTGACCCGCTCCGCTCGTTCCGTTCGCGCGGGCCGCGTGTGATGGCTGGGGATCGGCCTAAGGAAGGGAAGCTCCCTTTCAGGCTTTAGGGTTTTTGGGTTTAGGTTTTAGGGATTGAGGTTTTGGGTTTAGGTTTTAGGGTTTAGGTTTTAGGGTTGAGGGTTTAGGTTTTAGGGTTTAGGTTTCAGGCTTTAGGGTTTTGGGCTTCGGTTTTAGGGATTGGGGTTTAGGGTTTAGGCTTTAGGGTTTAGGTTTTAGGGTTTAGGGTTTAGGTTTTAGGGTTTAGGTTTCAGGCTTTAGGGTTTAGGGCTTCGGTGTTAGGGATTGGGGTTTAGGGTTTAGGTTTTAGGGATTGGGGTTTAGGGTTTAAGCTTTAGGGATTGGGGTCTAGGGCTTCGGATTCAGGGATCGGGGGTTAGCATGTAGGGTTTGGGATGGAGGTTTGGGTTTTGGCGTAGGATTTAGGGTGCACCTTCACCCAAAATAGCCTAAACTTCTAAGGACTTAAGCAACCCAGACCCCCAAAAGGATCTAAAAAATAGATCCCTTCATTAGGGAGCCTAACTACTAAAGGGTACTTTATAGGAACCCCCTTAGGGGATCTATTTTTTAGATCCTTTTGGGGGTCTGGGAAATAATCATACGCAGGAACCCTGAAAAGGTAGGTCGTTTGGGGTCCAGGTCTGTCTTATGTGCCCACTGGGCTTAGGGATGGGGGTTGGGGGTTTAGGGTTCGTTGCTGCGGGGTTTGGGGTTCCAGGCTTATGATTTGGGGTTTAATTTACGGCTTGGGGTATGCAAAGCCTGTGCAACCCAATGCCTCCAAGCACCCGTCGCGTTGCCCAAATTACCTACTATATCGGTACTTAGACCTTTTGTGTGAGGCTTCGAGAGCTTTGTTGAAGGAAAGCAGTGGTCAGGAGTCGTGCGCCTGGACAAAGTCGAGTGGCGGCTTGGGATGATGACGCTGACGCAGTCATAGGGACCCCTAAGGGGATAAAGGTAAAAGCGGGGGTAGGGGATAAGGAATTGGCCTTTTTGGGGCCTTATTACAGGAATTGAGGCCCCCTACCACCCACCCCCCTACCCCCCGCAAGGGTCCTTCGGAGGCCGAGATGGGGAGGGACGAGGGAGAGCCATGGTTCAATCACTGCTGCAAAAGAGGGATCGTGACATCATCTTAGGGCTTCTGAAACTTGAACCCCGAACCCTAAACCCCAAACGAACCCTAAACCCTAAACCCTAAACCCCAAACCCTAAACCCCAAAACCTAAACCCTCAAACCCTAAGCCACAAACCCCAACCCACAAACCCCAACCCCTAAGCTTGACAATGGTGACGACAACAAGACCCTTGAGCTTCCCATGCGCACAGAGCTCCCCAAAATCACATCCCTCTCGATCTCGACAACTCGCGAGGATGACTGCTTTCTTTCTAGAAGGTCATTTTTACCATTATTATTGTTGATACCATTATCAGTATTTTAACTATTATTACATACTAATGTTACTAGTGTTACTACTAAAGTCATGGGGTGCCGCATTAAGAGTAGAATTATGTAAGGTGCCCCAAAAAAGACCGTGATTTTGAGAGTTAATGTAGGGGCCTCAATAATGTGAACAAGGTTTTGAGGTATCACGATATGGAACCCCAACATAGCATTGGCAATTATTTCGGGCCGTATATTCGGGTGCCCCAAGAAAGGGACCATGATTTGACAGTTATCCATACCGGTCCGATTTGCTCTGGGTCTCTTGGGGACCAAGGTGCACGACGACTTCTCAAGTGCTAGGACTTAGGGTCTAGGGTTTAGGGTTTAGGGTTTAGGGTTTAGGACTTAGGGTCTAGGGTTTAGGGAACCCTACAGCCTCATCGCAGGCCAGGATACTCTGAAGTTCATAAGCCCATTTGAGGCGCCACACCCTCAGCATCCCTGCTACACCGTGACTGCGAACCACTGTACTCCCTCTAAACCCTAAGCCCCCAATACTATACTGAACTTAGACCCCTAGCAAAAATTATTTTTTTAAGCTGCTTCTTAGGGTTTATAGTAACCAAAGATTAAAAATTATCTGTAAGTACCCCATAAGAATACAAAAGCCGAAACTCTGACCCTGAATCCCATAGCTGCAGCTGGGAGCTCGGACAACATTGGCCGACTTTCATGCGCCTCTGCAGGCGATATGAAATTCAGGGTTCAGGAGTGGGGTGGGGTGGGGTGGGGTGCGGTGGGCGGGGGTGGGGTGGGGGGGGGCGGGGTGGGGTGGGGTGGG